TGTTTTGGTTTTCTTGATATTTTTGTTCTGGGAGGAATTGAGAGAAACGATGTTTGTTTAGAACTTAAATATATTTCATTAAATGGTCTGGTGAGAGATGTTAGAAATCAAGTAGGAGTTCTTGGTGCTAACAAGTTAGAAAAGTTAGATAAGATCCTTGAGACAGAAGATGAAGAGTCTTTACTGAATAGACGATATGTATATTAGTCAATGAATCTTAGAAAAACGGTACAGACAACCATACGTGAAATAATAAATGATGGATTAAACAGTTAATGTCATATATGAGTACAATAGCAAAGGGTCATCAAATCAGGTCCTAATAAACTAGAAGGATTCATCATCGTGGTTGTTTGATTCTGTCATATCTTGTGAAGACCCATTGAAGAAATGATATCCAACTATAAAAATATTAATGTTTAATAAAGAATTACATCTTTGTGAAATAGTTTAAAATATTTCTACTGAGTTCAAATGGACTAGGTGTTGCGAAGAGATGAAAATTACAAATTTGTTTTTTTTTTTAGCTAACTAATCCAAAATTGACTTAGTACCATTTTTTTTACTTAAGAAAGAAGTGTTGATATCTTAATAAGATTTTATGTTATGTATAGATCGAAAAGCATAGATGCGCTTGGTCATGTGTTTGGGATAATTCCGGACAGCCAAAGGTGCCGGAAATGAATTCAATTAAAGGACTTTAAGTCCGCAGAATACATGAATACATTGAATTGGTAATTTTAAGTAATTAGTAATTTTAAGTAATTTGAACTGAAACGATGATATGCTCCCGGAAGATTAGCAAGTGAGATTGCGCCAGGTATCATCGTAACAGTAGAGCGAGTGAGAAGCAGCATCAGCCGGTGGTTTCCCGCCTGCTCGAAGCAGGCCGGCTGTTAAATAGGAAAATGGCAGAATCAGGAGACTGTTCCGCTGCGTGTGGTGGGTAGGGATGGGTCGAGAAAATGCAAGTTAAATGAATTGGGTTCTTGTGAGAAAGAGTGCGTAGAATTGGCTTTTCCCCATGACCTTTTTATATTTGTTGCTTTGGTGGCTTTTTTGACTTTGCATGACTTTTCGATTTTGCATAAATTTTCGATTCGTCGATGACTTCATTTTTTCGATTGATTCTTAAGCGTGTAACGGGCCGATTTGGGCACGTGTCATGTGCCTCACTGATTTTGCGTGGTCGATCCTTGATACGGGTAACCGGGCCGAGGCAAGCATGTGCTGCATGTCCCCTGCCCAATGCTCCCCGTCTTTTCGATCTGTTGACCCTTGTCAACATGCAAAAACAATGCAAAAAAAGTAAATATTTTTGATGTAAATCAATCATGTGAAATTATATAATAACAACTCATCCTGAAGTAACATAACACAATCAGGAAAATTCAAACAAATGTTCATTTTCAAAAATCACTTTTAAACTTAAAAATTTGCTTAATAGATCATTTTTCATGCTCTAAAAATTTTTTGGACAATTTTATCATATGTCAGTCATTTTCTAATTTTAAATCTAACTTTAACCTTAAAATAAGTAGACTCTAAAGAATTTTGGAGCATCATGTAAGCGACCTTTTGGTTGATGTTAAAATAATATCTCATGATGATAAGCCAATCACAAACATGGATTTTAATATTTTAAGGTTTAATATATAATTTTATTTTTTATAATTAATTTATTCTCTTTTTTTGATTGGGCATTTTGTTCAAAGTTCTTTTTAATTTAAATTGTGTCCTAAAAAAAATAGTTACTTTTAGCTTAAATCATTAATAGTTTTAATTTTAAATTTTAAAGTTTAATTTTTTTAATTACTTAACTGTAGTTAATGTACTATATTTATTAGAAGACCCAAGGTTTAAATTTATAAAATATCTAAATATATTGTATAACAAAGAAACCTACCTCTATTTTAGACTAAAGAAATAACATGCAGTTCATGACTTTAAAAAAAACTATTTACAATTAATAGAATTCTCCAGTATAATATATAAAAAATATAATCAAAAAAAGATTTTTTAATCAGTATAATATGGTATATATAATAAATCAGAATACTAAACTTTATTAAGTAATTTTGAAACAGTAATGTTAAATAGTATTATTATTATTATTATTATTTTAATATTAAGATAAGTACATGTGATCCAGAATTTTATTAATAGTATATATTGGTTAGTATCTGTTAATATAACAGACACAGAGGCAATCATAAAAAAAATCTATATCTAGTTACTTATACAACTTTAGTTATTGTCTAATTTAAGTAGTCTGTCTGAAGGTTTTACATTAGTTGCTATATCTAAGACCCATTTATAAATTCTCTATTTAAATATTTTGATCTTATATTTACTATGTCTTACTAATGCTTTTAATAAACTAGTAAAAATATGTCATAGTCTCTAAGTTATATTTAACTTTGTACTAAACCCACCAGAGCTTTTTGTATCTCATATTTACAGCTAACCTGATATCAGTTTGGCTTAAACTATTATTTACAATTAGAGTTAACCATTAAACTATTCACTTTTATAAGATTCACTCAAACTCTAATACTCATCTTTCTGATGTCTTCTTTATCATCTTTACTAATCATAGTTAAGAACTAACAAGACTTTTCAGTCTTTCAATTCAGATGATCTAATGTAATATATTATAGTATGTTTTTCTTCTGAGGATTTCAGTAGTCTAATTGGTTATATGTCTCTTTATACATTTTATTATTTAGTTTATTTGTCTATTCTTACTAAAGATGTTTTATAAGTTTTTATTAGTCTAATAGCATTATCAAAAATTTGTACTATCTTCTTATTTGAGATTTTCAAATATGATTCTGAATTCATAGTTTCTTCACTTTTTGCATTCAGTAGTCTTATTATAAGTTTGCCTGAAGTTTTATATAATATTATTTAAATATTCTTTTATATATATGTAATATTATATTTTACATAGATATCTTAAGCTTTCATTCAAGATAGTGTAACTGAAGATTACAAATATGACCAATTCAACTAATCAACAGAGCCAGTTATCATAATACAGATATAATTTCTAAAATTTATTATTTATAAAATTTGAATTCTAGATCTGTTACTTGGAAGTTGTCAATCTGATTACTTTATTAGATTGTTATATCTCTATTAAACAGTATTATTTTTTTTCAATATTAAGGTAAGCTCTTTTGGTTCTAACTTTATATTAATACTTATATCAGGCATATATATATAAATGTATTTATATTGAATTGTTAGATAATTGTACAACTAGCTATATATATAAATTTTTTATATTATCTATTTAAAGAGTTTATTTAAAAATTTTCTATTAATTGCTGTATCTAATATCTTTGTTTAGATGTTTCATTTAAACTCTTTAATCTGATCCTGATATTAATTTTACTAAAACACTAATTCAAATCTTTTTGTTATTAATCTTTAGAACTATAATCCTTAGGCTATTTTTATTCTTAAAATAAATCTATCAGAATGAGCTATATTTTTAGTTTATTGCTAATATGATTTGACACTATAGTCAAGACTAACATTTGCAGTCAGAGTTATTCATTAAACTACTATTATTCTTGTAAAGTTTATTCAAACTCTAGTATCCATCTTTTTAATATCTTTTTTATTATTTTTTACTAGTTGTAACTCAGAATTAATAAACTTCTCAAACTTTCAATTCAGATAAACCATTATTGGTATCTTTT